CTGAATTTTGGGGGGAATTTTGGGGGGAATTTTGGGGGGAATTTTGGGGGGAATATTTTGTGATTTTTTTGGGGAATTTTTTTTTGATTTCTTTGGGATTTTTTTGGGGAATTTTTTGGGGGATTTTTTTGGGAATCTCTTGGGTGTTTTTTTCCTGACCTGCCCCACCAGTCTGGGATGTTTGGGGTCGGAGATGTCGTACTGAATTTTTGGGATTTTTTTTTTAATTTTGGGGGAATTTTTTTGATTTTTTGGGGGAATTTTTTTTTTATTTTTTGGGGAATATTTGGGGGAATTTTTTGGGAATTTTTTGGGGAATTTTTGGGAATATTTTTTGGGAATCTTTTGGGTGTTTTTTTCCTGACCTGCCCCACCAGTCTGGGATTTTTGGGCTCGGAGATGTCGTACTGAATTTTGGGGGAATATTTGTGATTTTTTTGGGGATTTTTTTGGAATTTTTTGGGGGAATTTTTTGGGAATTTTTGGGGGGAATTTTTTTGGGGGAATTTTTTGGGAATTTTTTTTGATTTTTTGGGAATCTTTTGGGTGTTTTTTTCCTGACCTGTCCCACCAGTCTGGGATGTTTGGGGTCGGAGATGTCGTACTGAATTTTTGGGGAATTTTTTTTTAATTTTGGGGGAATTTTTTGGGGGAATTTTTTTTGGGGAATTTTTTGGGAATTTTTTGGGAATTTTTTGGGATTTTTTGGGAATCTTTTGGGTGTTTTTTTCCTGACCTGCCCCACCAGTCTGGGATTTTTGGGGTCGGAGATGTCGTACTGAATTTTTGGGGATTTTTTTGGGAATTTTTTTTTAATTTTGGGGGAATTTTTTTGATTTTTTGGGGGAATTTTTTGGGAATTTTTGGGGAATTCTTTTGGGAATTTTTTTTTTATTTTTTGGGGAATTTTTTGGGATTTTTTTGGGAATCTTTTGGGTGTTTTTTTCCTGACCTGCCCCACCAGTCTGGGATGTTTGGGGTCGGAGATGTCGTACTGAATTTTTGGGGATTTTTTTGGGAATTTTTTTTTAATTTTGGGGGAATTTTTTTGATTTTTTGGGGGAATTTTTTGGGGGAATTTTTTTTGGGGAATTTTTTGGGGGGAATTTTTTGGGAATTTTTTTGGGAATTTTTTGGGATTTTTTGGGAATCTTTTGGGTGTTTTTTTCCTGACCTGCCCCACCAGTCTGGGATTTTTGGGGTCGGAGATGTCGTACTGAATTTTTGGGGATTTTTTTGTGAATTTTTTTGGGAATATTTGTGATTTTTTTTGGGAATTTTTTTGGATTTTTTGGGATTTTTTTGGGGATATTTGGGGAATATTTGGGGAATATTTGGGGATTTTTTTGTGAATTTTTTTGTGAATTTTTGGGGGATTTTGGGGGAATTTTTGGGAATTTTTTTGGATTTTTTGGGAATTTTTTTTTGATTTTTTGGGGAATTTTTGGGTGATTTTTGGTGAATTTTTTGGATTTTTTGGGAATCTTTTGGGTGTTTTTTTCCTGACCTGCCCCACCAGTCTGGGATGTTTGGGGTCGGAGATGTCGTACTGAATTTTTGGGGATTTTTTTGGGAATTTTTTTTTAATTTTGGGGGAATTTTTTTGATTTTTTGGGGGAATTTTTTTGATTTTTTGGGGGAATTTTTTGGGGGGAATTTTTTGGGAATTTTTTGGGGAATTTTTGGGATTTTTTGGGAATCTTTTGGGTGTTTTTTTCCTGACCTGCCCCACCAGTCTGGGATTTTTGGGCTCGGAGATGTCGTACTGAATTTTTGGGGATTTTTTTGTGAATTTTTTTGGGAATATTTGTGATTTTTTTTGGGAATTTTTTTGGATTTTTTGGGATTTTTTTGGGGATATTTGGGGAATATTTGGGGAATATTTGGGGATTTTTTTGTGAATTTTTTTGTGAATTTTTGGGGGATTTTGAGGGAATTTTTGGGAATTTTTTTGGATTTTTTGGGAATTTTTTTTTGATTTTTTGGGGAATTTTTGGGTGATTTTTGGTGAATTTTTTGGATTTTTTGGGAATCTTTTGGGTGTTTTTTTCCTGACCTGCCCCACCAGTCTGGGATGTTTGGGCTCGGAGATGTCGTACTGGCGCACGTCGCCGTGGATCCAGTTGCTGAAATACAGGAATCTGTCGTCCAGGGAAATCAGGATATCCGTGATCAGCCCTTCCAGAGGAAATTCCAGAGGAAAATCAGGGAATGGGAGGAGGGAGAATCCCAAAAAAACCCCAAATTCCCAGGAGGAAACATCAAAAAAGGGGGATTGGAAAGGAGGTGGGGGGAATAAAATCGACCTCGGGAATGATTCCAGGATTCCCGAGGGAATTCAGACCCAAAATTCCAGGATTTTTTTTATGGAGAAATCAAGGATTGAGTCAATTCAGACCCAAATTCCAGGATTTTTTTATGGAGAAAATAAAGGATTGAGTCAATTCAGACCCAAATTCCAAGGGTTTTTATGGAAAATAAAAGTTTGGAGCTAATTCAGACCCAAATTCCAGGATTTTTATGGAAAATAAAAGTTTGGAGCCAATTCAGACCCAAATTCCAGGATTTTTATGGAAAATAAAAGTTTGGAGCCAATTCAGACCCAAAATTCCATTTTTTTAAAGGATTGAGTCAATTCAGACCCAAAATTCCATTTTTTTAAAGGATTGAGCCAATTCAGACCCAAATTCCAGGATTTTTTTATGGAGAAATCAAGGATTGAGTCAATTCAGACCCAAAATTCCATTTTTTTAAAGGATTGAGTCAATTCAGACCAAAATTCCAAGGATTTTTATGGAAAAAATAAAAGTTTAGAGCCAATTCAGACCCAAAATTCCATTTTTTTAATGGATTGAGTCAATTCAGACCCAAATTCCAAGGGTTTTTATGGAAAATAAAAGTTTGGAGCCAATTCAGACCCAAAATTCCAGGATTTTTTTATGGAGAAATCAAGGATTGAGTCAATTCAGACCCAAAATTCCATTTTTTTAAAGGATTGAGTCAATTCAGACCCAAATTCCAGGATTTTTATGGAAAATAAAAGTTTGGAGCCAATTCAGACCCAAATTCCAAAGGTTTTTATGGAAAATAAAAGTTTAGAGCCAATTCAGACCCAAAATTCCATTTTTTTAAAGGATTGAGTCAATTCAGACCCAAAATTCCAAAGGTTTTTATGGAAAATAAAAGTTTGGAGCCAATTCAGACCCAAATTCCAAGGATTTTTATGGAAAATAAAAGTTTGGAGCCAATTCAGACCCAAAATTCCATTTTTTTAAAGGATTGAGCCAATTCAGACCCAAATTCCAAAGGTTTTTATGGAAAAAATAAAAGTTTGGAGCCAATTCAGACCCAAAATTCCATTTTTTTAAAGGATTGAGTCAATTCAGACCCAAATTCCAAAGGTTTTTATGGAAAATAAAAGTTTGGAGCCAATTCAGACCCAAATTCCAAGGATTTTTATGGAAAATAAAAGTTTGGAGCCAATTCAGACCCAAATTCCAAAGGATTTTTATGGAAAATAAAAGTTTGGAGCCAATTCAGACCCAAATTCCAAGGATTTTTTTATGGAGAAATCAAGGATTGAGTCAATTCAGACCCAAATTCCAAAGGTTTTTATGGAAAATAAAAGTTTGGAGCCAATTCAGACCCAAATTCCAAGGGTTTTTATGGAAAATAAAAGTTTAGAGCCAATTCAGACCCAAAATTCCAAAGGTTTTTATGGAAAAAATAAAAGTTTGGAGCCAATTCAGACCCAAATTCCAGGATTTTTTTATGGAGAAATAAAGGATTGAGTCAATTCAGACCCAAAATTCCATTTTTTTAAAGGATTGAGTCAATTCAGACCCAAATTCTAAGGATTTTTATGGAAAATAAAAGTTTGAAGCCAATTCAGACCCAAATTCCAAGGATTTTTATGGAAAATAAAAGTTTGGAGCCAATTCAGACCCAAATTCCAAGGATTTTCCTGGAAAATCCCACCCCAAGCACGGAGCAAACCCCTCTTCCTTTCCTCATCCCAAAATTCTCCCTTAAAAAAACCCAAAAAAAAGGCAAAAATTTGGATTTTTTTTGCCGTTTAAGGATGAAAATTCCACCAAAATCCCGGCTTTGGATCCATGAGAAAATTCCAAGATTTTCCTGGAATTCCTCACCTGGCATTTCTGGGAGGAGCCATCCTTGGACTTTCTTGGTGGGCACCTGGATCACCTTCTCTGCTTCCCATTTTCCTTCCTGGGAGAGGGAAAAGATGGAATTTGCTCCAGGAATCATGGAAAACGTCAAAAATTCCAGAAAAAATCCCAATAATTCCAGAAGAAAACAACAAAAATTCCAGTAAAAATCCCCAAATAATTCCAATGAAAAATCCCCAATAATTCCTCAAAAAATCCCAATAATTCCAGAAAAAATCCCAATAATTCCAGAAGAAAACAACAAAATTCCAATAAAAATCCCCAAATAATTCCAATGAAAAATCCCCAATAATTCCACAAAAAATCCCAATAATTCCAGAAAAAAACACCAAAAATTCCACAGAAAATCCCCAATAATTCCAGAAAAAAACACCAATAATTCCAATAAAAAACCCCAATAATTCCAATACAAAACCCCAATAATTCCTGAAAAATCCCAATAATTCCAGAAAAAATCCAATAATTTCACAAAAAACCCCAAATAATTCCAATAAAAAATCCCAATAATTCCACAAAAATCCCCAAAAATTCCAAAGAAAAATCCCCAAAAATTCCACAAAAAATCCCAATAATTCCAGAAAAAATCCAATAGTTCCAATAAAAAACCCCAAAAATTCCAAAGAAAAATCCCCAAAAATTCCTCAAAAAATCCCAATAATTCCAGAAAAAACCCCAAAAATCCCACCAAAAATCCCCAAAAATTCCACAAAAAACCCCAAAAATCCCACACAAAAAACCCCCCAAAATTCCCCCCAAAACCCCCAAAAATTCCCCAAAAATTCCCCAAAAATCCCTAAAAATTCCACAAAAAAACCCCAAAAATTCCACAAAAAACCCCAAAAATCCCACACAAAAAAACCCCCAAAATTCCCCCCAAAATCCCCAAAAATTCCAAAAAAACCCCAAAAATCCCCAAAATCTCACAAAAACCCCCCAATAATTCCAGAAAAAAACCCCAAAAATTCCTGAAAAAAAACCCCAAAAAATTCCCCAAAATGCCCCAAAAATTCCCCCAAAATTCCCCCAAAATCCCCAAAAATTCCAAAAAAACCCCCAAAAATTCCAAAAAAACCCCCAAAAATTCCAGAAAAAACCCCAAAAATTCCCCCAAAAACCCCCAAAATTCCCATTTCCCCCGGAAATCCCCCAAAAACCCCCAAAATCCCAAAAAAACCCCCAAAAATTCCCCCAAAAATTCCCCCAAAACCCCCCAAAATTCCCATTTCCCCTGGAAATCCCCCAAAAATTCCCCAAAAATCCCACAAAAA